TATAACGACAGCTTCCATCGAGCAGATTTTGGCAGCAGGTCAGTAAGTTGTTCTTGAACTGACTTCTCCGTCAAAATATTGACAGTACGCCAGTTTTGATATAATATTGTATTAAAAACTTACCTTTAGAAATATCGTCAGTTTTGTTGTTATATTTGTCGCTTCAAGAACTTTCACCATCTCGGTTATACCAACTTTCTTTGCTTTATGAAATATTTTGGTTCAGCAAAGACTGCTATTCTATAACATTTTACCATTGTTTGTGTAAAAGAACTATTCTGTCAATGAATTTGTATTGTTTGTGTGTATAAACTTTGTTTGCTTCAATTCAAAGAGATACTCAAATACGTCCATCTTTTATTCTAAGTAAAATGTCATTTCCGAAAAATAGAAGCGTAAGTGTTTCAAAAGGTTTAATGGCGGTGGCAGATGTGAAGTTAAATTCACCAACTCAAACAAACAGTCAAAGTGTTGTTGTCAATGTCAAAGACAGAGATGTTGAAGTGGGGAAACCATACGAAGACGAAGATGGTATAACAATTGTTCCTGTAAAAGAACCAACATATCCTGAAGTTAGCAGAGACTTAAGTTCTGTTGCAGATATTCGAAACGACTACCAACAACTTAAAGACAAACTTAAAACTCAGGAGAAGATTTGTCAGGCTTTGGGTATAATGTTAAACTTGGTGAGCACAACCCTGTAAAGTGAACTCATATGTCATTGCACCTCATGAATTTTGAAAGAACTATTGAAACTTTTGACAGAGGCAGACGATATAAACATCAAAGAAATAGAACCCGACATTGCTTGCTGTGGTGTTTCATACAATGTCATTGACAAGATATACGTTATGAAAGGAGGTGAAACGTTGAACTTAAAATATAGTTTCCCAGACGTCATAAAAATATTTGACGACCACAACATTTCATTAAAATTTACTTGCTAAGTAAAAATGTCAAAACTTCTTGAAAGATGTTTGAAGAAAAACAATATAGACTTTATTTCATGTAAAGGACTTTACACACTTTTGAACGATATGAAAGACCCTGTTTTGTTTGTTCGTGTAGACAAAGGAAAGTTCTATGTCTTTACAAAATATTTGAACTTCTTAGACAGAGAACTTCAAGAAACGCCATGTGAAAGTTTAGATGAAGTTCTTCTCCACTTTCAGAAAAACTTTAAATATATGTAAATGGCAGAAGACATAGTGGTTTATACTATTACGACTAAAAACCCTGAGTCATATAATTCTATAACAACAAACTTACAAAGTCCTCAAGGACGATATTGTAAACTGACCTTAAACACGATGACGACTAAAGCCTGTTTTGCTCTTTTGACACCAGAAGACTTTGTTGTTGTGAATGGTAAAAAATACTCCTTTGAAGATACTTACTCAGATATACCACCAACAGGTTTTGTTGACTTATTTAATACTTTAAGGACGGATGTAACATGTGCTGCAACTAGAGCAGGTTTCATTATGTTTGGATGTCCGACTGAGTTTAGTATAAACGATATGAGCTATAATACAAAACTTATATCTGGTTTTTACTACCAACAGTTTCCTATAACAGGAAAAGTGTCATACAAGGAATGTCTGTTCCATTGACTTTAAGTACACCTATTTTATATATTGTTTCAAACTTAGGTTCAAAGTGCTATTCGAATGTCGACAGAAACTACTATGACCAAAAGATACTCATGCGTATAAACAACACTTTCTCTGCTGGTTTGCCTATTGTTCATTCGAATGCAGAGTTTTCAGCTTTAGTAAACTCAAACACTTTAGCAAACATAAACTTAACCTTAGTTGACGCAAACTTTGTTCCTGTAAAACTTTTATGTCCTATGTATTTGTCAATGACGGCAGAAAGTTTCGAATTGGAAGATGCAACTGGTGAAAGTATTGTACTACAAGAACAACTTCAACAACAAATAGCTCAAGAACAACAAATGCAACAAATGGCAACAAAATGGAACAAATGCAACAACAAAGTCAAGAATAAAAAAAATTTTTTTTTATTTTTATAAAAAATGTACAGAATAGACGTTTCAGATTTTTATGACTTCCAAGCTTCAGAAATATGTGTCCATTTCGAGACTATAACAAAGCAGTCGAGAATTTGAAACGTTTAGTCATTTATGTCGACTCTGCCCCAGAATGTTATGTCATGAAAGAATGGATGTAGTCTTTAACAAACCAAGAGCGACAATAGTTCAGAACAAGAATGTAAACAGAAACTTAAGAAAATAAAAGTCGTACAAGTTGGTATGAAGATGTTAGATGCTTGGGATATCTTATTGTCAAGTTAGAAGATTTTCAGTTCGTGGTATAAAGTTCTATACACCTTCTCCAAACTTCTTTCTATCTTCACTGGATATAAATACGAACAAGTAGAATGGAAAGAAAATGTTATAGAAGCTTGGTTAGACCATGTCAAAGAAATTATATGCAATGGAAACGAAAGAGTCTATGAGTATATCTTATGTTGGTTTGCAAACATCTTACAACATCCAAGTGCTAAAAATGAAACTGCTCTCATCATAATTGGAAAACAAGGAACAGGTAAGAACACTTTCTTTACAGATATTTTGTGCAAACTGTTAGAGGGCTATTCGAACCCGAATATGACAAACTTAGAAAACATCTGCGGTAAATTTAACTCTTCAATAGAGAATATGAAACTTATAGTATGTAACGAACTTCAAAGTATAGATACAACAAAAGTTTTGAACTCAGATGCTTTGAAGAGTCTTATAACAGACAAAGTTGGAGTTGTTGAAAGAAAATATAAAGACCAAAGAGTTTGTGAAAATGTTGCAAATTCATCATGGTTTCAAACAACGCCGTTCCGATGAAGTTAGAAAGTTCTGACAGAAGATATGTAGTTGTCAGAACGTCAGAAGCTCATATGCAAGATACAGAATATTTTGACGACTTAGCAGAAACTTTGACATCCGACTTTTACAACCACTTGTTCTCATATTTCATGACATTAGATATTTCAAAGTTCAATCCAAGACAAATTCCACATACCGAAGAGAGACAAACGTTGTTAGAAGCAAACAAGAGTGTATATGAACTGTTCATAGATGAAACTGACTTTGAGTGTTTAGATGAAAGGTCATTGTACGATTCGTATAAACAGTATTGTCAAGAGTATGGTTATATGACAGCGTCTAAACGAACATTCTTGGCAAATGTCAAAAGTCTTTTAGACGTACAGAATGGTGTATATACAAAGAAAAATTTTTCTGAGTAAATTTTAAAAAAAAATATTTTTTTTATCCGATAGAAAAGATGACAAATTCATCTCAGTCAACAAGTACATGTCAGGACTTAAAGAAGAACTAGACCCATTCACATATTTGAATGTTTACTTCTACCATTTTGAAAAGTCTACATTTGACAAAGTTTGGAACATCGAACCAGTTAAGTTTGCTATTGTGACTAAAAATGGTGCGAAATTTGAAGACTTAGACATAGAAGGTTTGTTAACAGTCAAAGAAAGTTTTGACAGAAGGTTTTCAAACCTTAAAGAAGGCAAAGCATACAAACTTGTTATACCTTATGAACCAAAGAAAGCAGACGACTATGAATATTATGAGTCTAAGATAGTTGAAGTTCAAGGTAATTGGGTAAAAAGATTTTAGAGTCTAAGCCAGTGTTTGCTCCTAAAGAGGAAGAGAACATTGACATTGACCCAGAAATGTTCTAAAAAAAATATTTTATTTTTACATGTCAAATTTCTTTTTCTCTGGCTCTGGTTCTTTCTTCTCTTCTTCTACGTTCTTTTCTTTCTTTTCTCTCTTCTTCTTTTCTGGTGGAGTTATGTCAAACTTCTCAGAACCATATTTTTGTAAAAGTGCTTTGTCATTTAATAGCTCTTCTATTCTGTTTTCTATTTCATTTTCAAGAACAGCGCATGTGTCTTCTTTGCATTCTAAGAAGTTTTGTTGGACTTCATCTCTCCAAGAGGCTCATCTCTGTCAACAAGTCTGTCATTGACAAATTTAAGACTTCTCTGCTTAAGGTTTTATGGTTCTTGTCATATTCCCAGAAACAGAACTTTAGAACAAATTCACCTTTCTTGTTTACACTATGTAAGATTTTATGGTCGACAGATGTTTTGCTGTCGAAAAAGCTTGTCTCGAATATAGATAGCGAAATCGCTAGACATTTCCTAAAAGATAAAATTTTAATTTTTCTAAAAAATGTTAGAAAAAAAGTTTGCTGACATTGACAAGAAATTTGAGAATGTTTTAAACAAGAACAAGAGGAAGTTGGAAAATGCTCAGATAAAACCCATACATGACAAGTTCCTATTTGCTCAGAATGGTATAACAGGTCTAATCGCACCACCTGGGTCGGGTAAGACTTTCACTTATCTTAAAATGGCTGCACAACAACAAGAACTAGATGAGAAGAACCCATTCTATGAGTTAGTAGTCATTTGTAGTACTTTGGTCAATTTGACCAAACCGTCAATTCGTTCAAAGATATTATAAAGAAGTCTAAGTTAGTATGTATAAAAAGACTCTGAGTTGTTAGATTGGATAAAGAAGTACCAAAGAAGAGTTTTTGAAGTACAATGCTATAAATGAGTATGTCAATTCGAAGTTTAAAGACCCAAATGAGGAAATGCAGAGAATATTAGAGAAGAAACACTTCAGAAACAAACAGAAAGAGATAGAATACATTTCGAAGAAATTGCAATCTTACGATTGGAAGACTTACCCTCATAGGTGTCTTCTTATCTTAGACGACTTTGCTTCTCATCCTTTGTTAAAGAACAGAGAACAAGACATGTGTCGAATTCTTAAGAAGCTCAGACACTTTAACATCTCTGTTGTCATTTGTGTACAGACAGCCAAGAGTTTAAGTAAGGATGTAAAGAGAATACTTACTGATATCATACTTTTCCCCGGATTGTCCGAAGACGATTTCATGGAACTTATGAAAGAGTCCATGGCAGGTAAGTTTGACAGACATGAACTATGGGAGAAGTACAAAGTCATACAAGACCCTCATACTTCTTTCAGAATTCACATCTACGCGAACAAAGTTCAAATTGTAAAAAGTCAAGCGTAAAAATGTAAGTGTTTTAGTCTTAGTCTGTTGTGGTGCTGGGGCTGTCGGTTCTTCTGGCTTTGGAATGGACTCGGTTGGTGGTACGTCGGACATTCGTTTGTGTCCTGTCGGAAGGAAGAACTTTTCCTGTCGGAAGGAAGAACTTTTCCTGTCGGAAGGAAGAACTTTTCCTGTTGGAAAGAAAAATTTTTCCTGTCGGAAGGAAAAACTTTTCCTGAAGGTCGGCCAAAAAGTTCTCAATTTTCGAAAATTTGAATGGTTTACGGACGGACAACTGGAAAAATTTTTCCTGTCGGAAAGAAAAATTTTTCCTGTCGGAAGGAAAAACTTTTCCTGTCGGAAGGAAGGACTTTTCCTGTCGGAAAGAAAAACTTTTCCTGTCGGAAGGAAGGACTCGGAATGCCAGAAGGAAGGACTCGGAATGCCAGAAGGACTCGGACAAGACAATTTACCATCTAGAGCTACCTGAGCCATCTTTGGTGTCAAGCTTGAAAAAATAAATGGTTCATTTACTCTTCCTCTTTGAAGTTGTCAAAATACTCTGTTATCTTTTCCTTCAGTAGCGGCAAATCTTCTTTGAATGTAAGTATTGTACAACCTTTCATATCATAGTGTGTTTGAGGTAAAGTATCTTGAACTATCTGTTTAACATCTTCATTCGGTGTCATTGAAATCGGTAAGTTTTCGCGATAGAACCAATTTCTGTCAGATTTGTAAAATCTTAGCTAAGTCGTAAAAAGCTTTTGTTGTTTCTTCTGACTAAATGCAACATAACCATATCTCTGTCTTCTTCATTTTCCATCTCTTCAGTGTAAATCATATACTTATAGTTCTTTTCCTTTCCTTTTGGTACCGAACGTGGTATTCTTTTCTGTATGTTTTTGTCTTTTGCTTCAAGCTTGTTCTCTAGCTCTTCACGTTCTTGTCTATGAATTTCGTCAAGAAGTCTGCAAATATACCAAGCATAACGAGGCGAAGCCCATTGTGCCACAGCATTTACAAGAAGTCTATGTACATACCAACCTCTCAAACCATTTGGCAAATTTTTACGATTTTCATAGAGTTTTGGCGACCCCGAAAAAAGTCTGTCTCGCTGTGCTTCGCTCAAAAGTTCTTGTGTGCTTTGGTTTTTGAACCAATCGTCTGTATGTTTGGTATCTGGTGCAAAACATGCTGTCAAAATACTTTGCATTTGGTACATGTCATCTTTGACCGAACGAATGAGACGTAACTGTTTGTTATACTGAACCCACTCGTATTCTTCATCTATGGCTTCATGAACGATAGCAGTTGTTGTGTTCTCTGTTGTTGTCATATCTGTCTTTACATACAAAATAAAAAATAAAATAAAAATAAAATTAGCGTTATTTTCTATCTTGTATAAAAGACCAAAAATAAACGCTTTACATGTATTTTTCAGCAACTTCGTCAAATAATTTTATAGCTTTGTCGATCTCATCTACTTCAAACGTTTCTTTACCTTTCGTGGGAGCACCATACATTTTCTCAAACTTTTCAAGTAGTTCTGTTTCTGCAGCTCTCATATCGTTAACAAACGCAACCTTAACTCTATTGACTATACTGTCATATCTTTGAGTTATATTAAATGTTCTTCCTATCTTATATCTCTTTGTATTGAAGTCCTTCGGTTTCTGAACGATGTAAAGTAAGCCTTCACTGCAACGTTCCGTATCGAATGAACCATATGTTATGAAATTATATCCAACAACTTGGTCAATCCAGAACAAAACTACTGGTATAAGACTTTTGTCTATAAGATATGCTCTTGTTCCATAGAATCTTACCGATATCATAAGCTCAGGATTTTTTGTCAAAATTTTCTGAGTAGAAGCATTTTTAACCCAGTCGTGTGCTTTCTTTCCTTCAGATAGTGTTAAAATGTCTGACAAAGAATATTTTTTGTATTTCTTTGAGTATCTTACGTTTAAATCACCTATTCTAACCACTTTGGTGTCATTGTCTATCTTTTTAACTGTTTCAAACTCAGTGTTTGTCATTTACTGTTCTTACATACAAAATAAAAAAATAAAAAAAATAAAAACTAACGCTATTTTTTTATCTTGTATAAAAGATATGATTTCATGAGTTTTTTCACGAAGTGCAAAAGTTCTCTTCGTCAAAAAAAATACAGTTATATCATGAAATTTGGTCATTTTTTCACGATTTTCATGAGTTTTAGGCGACCCCGGGAAAAGTCGGGGTCGCAATTTTTTACGATTTTCATAGAGTTTTGGCGACCCCGGTTTTTTCCCTACTCGCTGTTCTTCACTGTTTTCATAGAGTTTTGGCGACCAGGGTTTTTCTCCCACTCGCAATTTTCCACGATTTTCATAGAGTTTTTTTACGATTTTCGTACGGAATCTCGACCCGCGGTTTTCCGCCGGTCGCAAACATATGAGGAAATTCATGAAATTTGGTCATTTTTTTCAGCAAAAATATATTTTAGATCTAACCAGGTCCCTCGGTCCCTCGGTCAAATGAACTTCTCTGAAAAAGTGTGACAACATGACATTTTGACAACAACACAGGAAATAAACTTCATCGTACATGTTTTGTCATGATTTCATCGTCAATGAGTGTAAATCAGGCAAAAATATATTTCTAACATAAAAGTTTTATAAGCGTTTTACATGGTATATGTTGTGATGGTTCATGACTTTAAACAGTTTTGTAGCTTCTATTTCTTCACGAAGGATATCAAAAGTTTTAACGATACCGAAAGTTTCTTTATATTTCTTCTTGACATCTGAAAGAAGGAAATCGTTAGCAGTTGGATAGTTTTTGTTCAGAAATGTCAACATGTCCATTTTATCTTCTGCTGGTTTCTCTGCTTCTTTCTTTAAGTCAGTATAGTCTTTTCGCATACGTTCTATCTCTTTGACGGAGTAGTTATATTTCCTCATTGCTGCTTTACATTTTGAACATTGTGGGTTCATTTTAGCATTGTACATTGAAACCTTACCTGCAAGTACAACCAAGGCGTAAATGGTTTTCTTTAACTCAAAAGTTGCTGGTTTTATCTGTTCGTTCCATACTTTACCTCTTCTATCTTTATCTCTTATCTGCCATACACATTTTGCAACTAACGAAACAAAGTTGTCGTAGGTCTTAAATTCTTCAGATTTATATATGTCAATGAAATATACCATATCGCAGTCTTTGTGGTTGCAATGAAATCCAAGAAACTCATAGTTTACCTTACGTATGAACTTCTTTATTTCTACTGAGTCAGTTGCTTTGACTTCTATTTCATCGAATTCTGGAATAGTAAGCTTTTGTTGTTGGATTTCAGGAAGTTTAGGTAGATGGTCAATAATATCCTGCATTTCATAAAGATACTGTTCATTTGTTTCATCTTTCGCACTACAGTCTAAATCTCCTTGGAGAAGTTCTTGCTTTATCTTCTGGATTTCTGTTTCGAAAGTATATGAAGAAGGAATGAAGCTTTTCATCTCTACTAACATTGAAGTTGGGTTCATGACTAAAGAGTTTGGTGAAGTTGTTGCTGACATGTTCTTACAATAAAAATAAAAAAATATTTTTTTAAAAAAACTAAAATATATTTTTGCCGAAAAAAATGAGTTTTGTGTGTTTTCTACGGTGGAGCCAAAAATGGCTCGACCTCAAAACAAGCATTTCGTGAAGAATATACCAACCGCCGGAATTCCGGCGGTTGCTTTTTATACAAAACATGTACGATGAAAGTCTTGACAAAACAGGCATTTTGTGAAGAATATACCACCCGCCGGAATTCCGGCAGGTGCTTTTTATACAAAACATTGACGATGAAAGTCTTGACAAAACAAGCATTTCATGAAGAATATACCAACCCGCGGGATTCCGGCGGTTGCTTTTTATACAAAATTCAACAGGTGAAAGAATACGATGAAGAAGTCATGACAAAACATTTACGCTCATGTTTGACAAAACACATACGATGAAGTCTATTTCCTGTGTTGTTGTCAAAATGTCATGTTGTCACCATTTTCAAAAAGATGTTAGTTGACCGAGGGACCGAGGGACCGAGGGACCTGGTGAGATCTAAAAACCACTTCACATAAAATATATTTTTGCTGAATTCAATAAAAAGAAATGGTTCATTTACTCACAATATTTTTGTACAAAAGGACCCCAAACTTTTAACCTCTCTTCTGCAGCTTCTAATGAAACTTTAGCGAGTTCATATTCTCTAAATTCTCTCTTTAAATCTTCTTGTTCCCATTGGTCTAGTTCGTATGGAGAGTCTCTATAACCAGAACATATCTCACGTTCATGTTCTATTTGTTTTTCATGCATTTTTCTAACTTCTTCTTCGAACAAAGGTTTTGCATTCTCTACTGTATCTTCAAGTTCTTCTTCATCTAATTTCTCATGAACTTTGTTGTCTATGGAGTCCATAATTTTTCCAACTGCTATGCAATATTTTGGAGAAGCCCACATTGCTATATAGTTTACGAGTCTTGGGTCTGCATACGTTCCTCTAACCTGTTTGATTTCATCGGGAATTCCTGCATGAACTTTGTATAAAAAGCAACCGCCGGAATTCCGGCGGTTGGTATATATCTTCACAAAATGCCTTAAATACTCTTCCCAGGACTTATTTTCCAACAACTTTCTAAAGTCTTTCCTAAACTGCTGACACATATTTGTTACATTTATATAACCATCCTTGTCTCTACGTAAGACTTCAATACCGTTTTATAGGTGCCTTTTGTGAATGTTTCGCCATTAGATTTGTTCGTGAACGTTTTTGCTTCGACTGTCATACTGTTCTTACAATAAAAATAAAAAATATTTTTGGCTTAACCGTCGGACATTCGTTTGTGGCTTAACCGTCGGACATTCGTTTGTGGCTTAACCTCAAAACAAGCATTTTGTGAAGAATATACCAACCGCCGGAATTCCGGCGGTTGCTTTTTTATACAAAATTCAACGGGTGAAATCTATCTCCTGTGTTGTTGTCTAAATGTCATGTTGTCACACTTTTTCAGAGAAGTTAAAATGACCGAGGGACCGAGGGACCGAGGGACCTGGTGAGATCTAAAATATATTTTTCAATACTTTTTCAGCACTTTTCCGTAGTTGTATATGAAAGACAATTCGAGATAAAAGTCATAGTACAATGGTATAATATGCTGCACACCGTTTGTTGTGAACCAAACTTGAAAGTCAGAGAAACTGTTACTAGGTGGTTCGTAGAATTTAGAAGCAAAGTCATAGAAGTCCTTACCGATACATAGAAAACTGTTGTTGCTTGAACTGAAACTTGCATGACACATGACATTTTGAGGGTCAAACACGTTTTTATAAACTGTCAAATCTGCTGGTGGAAGTACAAATTTAAATGGACCATCTGGTGGCAATGGTTCGTTCTGGTTTAGTAACCGAAGAAATTGTGCCCAAGAACGTTTGTCCACCCCCCAATATAAAAACTCTGTATCTCTTGGAGGGTT